GATCCAGTACCTGAAGAAAAGGCGAAGGGATCTCATTTGTCCCAGGTCTACTCTGAAGACACCACACACCTGCTCGAGGGCAAATACCTTCTGCTGCTCATCCCATCTGGTGCTCTGCGTTTGCCCATTGTTCTCCTGGAACTGGGCACTGGTGTCCAGGCTGGAGGCAGAGCTGGTGGAGCAGGTCATGCGATTGTCACACGTGTCCCTGTGGGCAGAGCGTGGGGACAAAAACCCCGTCAGCCATGGGAGGCTGTGGGTATGTGCACCAATCACAGATGCTCCATGTTAAAAACCTTTAGTCAGAGGTCTCAAACCGGCATTAATCCACCAACTAAATTATTTTTATTTAAAGTAATCCCTACCGTCCCAAAAAGCATCCTGGTTTTGGCCTTTTCCTAAAGTCTTGCATGCAGAACTGGGGAGAGCCAAACCACTCCTCAAAACATCAACTTTTGAGAAGGTAAAATGAAGAAGCTCAAGCAATGCCCTCCGTGTCCAGCTCAGCCACTGCACTTCAGGATAGGGACAGGAGGAATGAGCACATTCCAACGGCAGCATGGACCTGAGACCTCATCTGGGAAATTCCCTCTTTGACCAGTGAGATCCAAAGATGTTTGCCCTGAACTTGAGTTTCTCATTACACCTCCTAGATTCATGGCTATAAACTCCAGACAAATGCCAAGCCTGGATTCATGGCTATAAACTCCAGACAAATGGCTTCCACCTGCAATCTTGAACCTTGGCAGACTTAGGATTGGGAAATCACACCTGAGCTCTTCAATCCACCCTAAAGAAGAGAGAGTGAACCCAACCCTTTCCCAATCCACCCCAGATCTCCAGCTTTAAATGCAAACTGAGCTCAGACTCAAAAAGCCCCCATGTCCCCATCAGCCCCCATCCCAAACGAAAACTATCAGTGCTTTGGGAATGAAGTGAATGTGAAACTGTGACCCCTTGGCTCGTAAAAAGGCCAATGCACGTGAACAATCTCGGCGCGGGCTCTGAATGGGCTCTGCTGTGAAATTGGGGTTTGCCAGACAAGGCCTGGAGCAGGTACAAAGCAGCCCCCTGCAAGGCCACTTTATGTGGTGTTTTCTAATCCTCTTATCCAACAATGTGGGCACTGAAGGCTGGAAATCACACACTCAGCATGCACTTCACATCCGTGTGCCTCCCGCGCCTGGCTCGGGGCCTCTTCCCCAGGAGCAGCGTCCCGGGCAGCACATTCTGGGATTCTGGGATTCTGGGGCAGGGCTCTGGACAGCCCAGCCAGCTGGGGCCATTTCATCCCAGCCCTGCTCCAGGGTGGGACTCAGCTCCCCCAGCCCCTTCCTGCCCCTGTGGCACTGGAAGAGACCAAGGCTGGTTGGCTCCAGCTAAAGGAGCAGCTTCAAGGCTCTCTGGGAAGTTCTGCTGCTCCGGTTTTTGGAAAGAAAGCAGCAAAGCAGAACTCACACTCAGGCCATTTGGAGGATGAGGACTCAGAAGGGATGTGGCAATAGGGATGCCAGCACACATCCAAACCCACTCCGCGTTAGACACCAGGATACCATCGACCAAGGCACACCATCCCCTGCCTTGGGGATTTTTCCATGAAGATTGTACTGGCCTTTATGAAAAATCAAGCATTCCTTTCAGATAAGGTGGCAAAATGTAACACTCTCTGAAACACGGAGTATCTAACATTAACACAGATGTAACAAGAGTGCTGGTACAAGACACTTGGGCTGGACTGCCTGCTAGGAGCAGCTGGTATTTATGGAGCAACACTTCATAACAGCCACAGCTGGTTACACAGGATTTTCCTGGAAGAGATGACTCAAACCAACTCAAAGATTAAGCAGAGGCAACCCATTTTCTAAAACTCTTGCAAAGAGAAGCTGGTCCATATGTTAAAGGAATGGGTTGGAGGATGGGTTGGTATGAGGATCATGCATGTCCTGGTCACAGAAGTCCAAATGCCAGCTCTTCAACAACATCATCTGAAATGACCAGCAGAGATGTCCAGAGAGGTGCCATGAAATGAGTGACCAGTAGAGTTGGCTTTGATGCTGGACATTCCACAACTCTTCAGCGCAGCATGTCCAGCTGCAGTTCCCTGTGCTCCAAACCCCAAACCTGCCCCAGATGCTGCAGCACCAGCTGAGACCTGCGGGCAGGAGAGGCCGGGCACAGCCCTGGCACCGGAGGAACCTCCGGAAATGCTTCTCCAAGACAAATGTTTGCAGTTCCCATCCGGCGGCGGCGACAAGCTCGCACACGCATCCCCAGCACGGCAGCCTCCCGCGTCAGGGCTGCAGCCCTGCAAGGAGCACGGGCTGAGCACAGAGGGGAAATTCCGGCGTTCTCACTGGTGCAGAGGGCGAAATCTGAAAGAGACACCTGTGCCCTCCCTGCCCTTCACAGGGGCCAATGGACACAAACACTCTCACAGGACAGAGCGGAGACAGAAGCGCCTCGTGCTGGTGCTCACTGAGTCACCGGGGAAATTCGGAAAAAACCCACACCGTGCCTAAAATGACTTTTTCCTGTACATATTGATTGAAAAAGAATTGAAAAACTCTAATCTCTGGACTACTTTTAAATAAAATTTTAATATTGAGATCATTCTGTAGGTCAGTGACAACAAGCAGTATGATCTCTGCTAATTTTGTGGGGTTTGGGGAGTCCTCTCACCAGGCACTGAAGACAGACAAATGCAGGGGAAGAGTTTATTGTTTGTCAGACTATTCTATGTGTTGGAGGAGGAATTTACCCCAGAGCACCCCATAAAAGCAGGAGCTGAAGCACTGCAATGCAAATAGCTGGAGGAACATTCCAGAGAGACTTTGGGTTGTGGGATCCAGGAAAAACAGAGCACCAGCTAGTACACAGCACTGGTCAGCAAAACAACAAGTGCAGTGGGCCACGGGAATAAAAGGGACAGGGGAAAAAATCAAGGAGGATTAGAAAACCTGGGTCAGGAAACTCTGGGCCATGCTCATGTGTTCAGTTCAAGAAGGTCAAGGAGGGGCTGGAGCGTGTCCAGGGAAAGGAACAGAGCTGGGAAAGGGGCAGGAGCACCAGGAATGGCTGAGGGAGCTGGGAAAGGGGCTCAGCCTGGAGAAAAGGAGGCTCAGAGGGGACCTTCTCATTCCCTGACAGAAGAGTGGAGCCAGCCAGGGGTCGGGCTCTGCTCCTGGGGAAAAAGGGACAGGACAGAAGGAAACAGCCTCAAGTTGTGCCAAAAGAGGGCCAGGTTGGTAATGGGGGGAAATTCTCCATGGAAAGGGCCGTCAGACATTGGCACAGCTGCCCAGGGCAGTGCTGGAGTCCCCAGCCCTGGAGAGATTTAACAGCCCCATGGATGGCACCTGGGGACATGGTCAGTGGTGACCCTGGCAGTGCTGGGGAATGATTGGACTCAGTGAAGTCTGAGGGCTTTTCCAACCCAAACAATTCTGTGATTCTGTGATTCCACTTCAGCCTTTTGCCCTCAGCCAAGTCCCACCACTCTTGCCCCAAAACACATCCCATTCCTGCTGGGGAGCAACAACAGGGGCTGATGTATTTTCTCCACTCTACAATCAACTACAGCAGCCAACCATATCCACATTCCTGGAGCCTCTGCAGCCCCAAGGAGCCACCACCCCCTCCCACCCCACGGGACCTCTCACACGCCCGGCTGAGGAGCTCAGGTGAGACTCAACCTGCAGCACTGGGACCCAACTCACCGTTCCAAAGCCTTGGAACACACCCACGGCACAGAGAGAGCTGAACCCAATTATTATTTCTGTTCCAGAGACCTGCCCTGATTACCTGGGAAGCCAATTTCAGCAACAAAGACCTAATAACTCATTTTACGATGTGATGTGACAAATATAATTACGAGGGAGAAAGGGGCTGAAGGCTGCAGCCATGATGTGGCAGTTACCCAAGCTGTCAGCGTGCACCACCTGATTCCCAGCGAGCCTCCTGCCAGAGCCAAGCCCTGCTGCTGGAGCTGCCTCTCCATCAGTCACTAATAACAGCTCCCACAGCCCCAGCATTCCCGCACGCCAGCTTGGGACCATCATTTACAGACAATGAGTATCATCATAATGTATGAGCATCCATGTAATGGGAATTACATGCCCCTTTTCCTCCCCAGGGGTTAGCATTTCTCTGTTTCTCCACTATTCCCCACAGGCACTGACCTTCTGGGTTCCTCTTCTTCCCAGCAAGGTGATATAGCTCCTGGCAGCATCAGCTGCTAAGACAGACAGCTTCAAACAAATAATCTGCCAATAAAAGTTCAAAGCTATCCTGAAATGCCTAAAAATTTAGAGCAGTGGCTGTACAGAGTAAGGTAATATTGAGTATCTGGAACCCAAATCCATTGTTCTGATAAAAAAGCGTCCTTGACAATATACATATATTATAGACTGGAACGTGCTGAATTCAGTGACACAAAAGACATGCAAAGGAAACCAGATTGGTAATTTAGGATTAAAGAAGAGATGCTGAAATGTGTCTGCTTGCTCTGCAGAGCAGGGCTGGAAGGACACTCACAGGACAGCACCAGCTTCCCACAGTGTGGCACCCAGAGGCAGCCACAGACAGGGAATGCTGCTGTCACACTGACCAGCACAGATGAGTGACCACGTTAAGAACTGTGTTAAAGCCACACTTTGCTGAAAACATTTGGAACTTGAAGTTTCTGTGCCTCAGAGAACCCAAATCGATTTCCACTGACCACGGTGACTAGGGAACAAGGTGTTAGATAGCCTGGATTTAGAAAGCCAGGATTTCTAAAATGAAATGTCAAAGCATCCTCATGTGGAAGCATTTCTATACATCTGCAAACACGTGGGAAACAAATCCAACAATTCCTCCTATTTGTTGGGGAAACCTGAGAAAAACTACTCAGGCTGTTACAGTACAAAGTACATGGATGTCAACTGGACTTTCCAAGAGCTTGTTCCACAGGCTTTCCATTGATCTGTTTGCTTTCAAAACATAAATTTCCCCACGTCGAACGGCACTAAATGCTATTTAGTAGCTAATTAACTTTCTGCGCTGAAAACCTCCTGTAATTGCACTTCTTTCACCTTTTTGAGCCCGTGTCCCCCGGGGAGCCCGAGCTGTCCTACGGCATTTGTTCTGCTCATTTCTATCTCCCAGGCACAAGTTCCTCCCTGACACCGGGCTGCCAATCACGGCGCCAGAGGTCACTGGAGACCAAAT